TTTTTTTTTTTTTTGAGACAGGGTCTTACTATATCACCCAAGGCAGTCTGCCTCACCCTCCCAAGTAGTGCATGCCACCACACCCAGCTTCAGTTTTCTTATGTAGTAGAGTTTATCAATCTTTTCCTCTTGTTGTACTTGGGAAAGACTTCTCCACTCTGAGATTATTTATTAAAAATACCCATGTTTTCTTGTAGCACGTTTATGGTTTTATTTTTTACATCTGAATCTTCACTCCATCAGGAATTTATTTTTACTTATGGCTTGAGGTAAGGGTGAGCCTGGTTTTTCTACAGATCAGGTAGTCATTATTATAAATATCACTTCCCCCACTGAATCATACCATTACTCCATCCTCCTTTATGATAAACACCCAGTGTCAACATGAACAAGTTGATGTTGCACTGGTGTGGTTTGTGATCCCTAGCCTTTCGCTAGTGAACAGTCGGTACTCAGTGCTGTGCTTAGACTCCAGGCTGCTCTCCAGCCAGTAAGTGCCTCTCACTCCACATGGCTCCACATCTGTTTACCATGGGCTGCCACTTGCTCTGTATGGGTTCAACTGACTTCCTCAAAGGCTGGAACTGTCTTTCCTTTCCAGTGTCTCTCCCAACCTGTGCTGTTTTAAGCCTTTTGTAGAAAGTTCCGTTAATCTAGTCTCCACTATGTGCCAGGCACATCCTGTACCTAGCCTCTAAGCCTCAGGACTTGGTGAGGGTACAGATTCTTCTCCCCACTTACAGTGATAAAACCAAAGCCTAGAGAATACTGTCCTCTCTCCAGGTCACACTGCTATTGAGTGACCCAGACAGGATTCAAATCCAGGTCCACCTGACTCTGAAGTTGTAGGGCAAGTGAAATTTCTCCTTTACCCTATTAGGGCCTCCAAGTAAGACCAGGAATTGAACGGACGTAAGATAGACTAACAGGAGAAAAACATACAAACTTTGCTTAGTAATATTTTTACTAATTTTTATTATATATGTGGGAGCACTCACAAGAAAAGTGAAGACCCAAGGAAACAGGTAGGGCCAAAGGCTTATATACTAGGTTGGACAAAGAGTAGTAAGTTGTAAAAACAGGAAAAACCAAAGGGGCTGGGCTAGAGCAATTACTTGTGGGGTAGTGACTAGGAACACAAGGGTTAGTTGAACAAATTTCTCTCGGTGCTGACTCCCCATCTCTGGTAATAAGAATCTCTCCCTTCTTCCTAGCACAGGAAGGGCACCTTCTACATGGCAGTTTCATCTTCTGCGCTCAGGAAGAAAAGGGGGGTCAGAGTGGCCTCTTTGCATCTGCTGTTAAAAACTGCTGTTAAGTGTCTTTAACTCAAAATAATCAACATTCCACAGCAGCATATGTTGGGACTCCTTCCACCCTGCCCAGTAGCCTCTAATAAAAACTGGAGCTAACAGGGAGGGACTGAGTACTTACGAATGCTCTAAGAGCTGCATATGTCCTCTTATCTGTGTCGAAGTATGGGCCGTTACCATTCCCACTTTACAGACAAGGAGACATAGGCAAGGAGAGGATAGGTGGCGTCTACAAACTCAGAGAGCTGGCAGAGGGCAAAACTGAGACCCACTCCAGAGTCCAAGTTCTTACCCATATAACTTAATTGCCTTCTGCCATCAACTATCAATAACTACACTTAGTAGGTGATTCCTAAGGCACAGACTTTTGTTTCCAGAGTTTAAGTACCATTCGAGAAGAGTCTGAGGTGCCCAGCATCGAGAAGAAGATCATGGAGTGCAGCGAGGACATCACGGAGCTGTTCAACGTGCTCATGACGCTGGAGATGCAGCTGGTGGAGCAGCTGGAGGTGAGGTGGGGCCTGGGGCAGCTGGAGGCCAGGCAGGGCCTGGGACGTGGGTGCAAACAGCAGCAAGCGGGGCCTTCATGGTGCTCCTCTGTTGGAAAGGTGCTGAGCCTTGCAGAATGTCAGGCTGAAGCTTTCTTGCTCATCAGCCCTCGCTGTTTTTAATACATTTTAGATCATTCAGAAATGGTCCTTGTGGAGAATGAGAGGTAAGCTCATCACTCTGGAATGTTTGCCCCACCCAGGAAGAGAAAGCCTCAGCAAAGAAGTTTTTGATTAGGCCCAAGGAACTGTTTGGGTCTTTGGAAAAAAAAGTGGACTCTCTCTCGGGGACCAAACAAAGGCTCCCCCGCATTTCAGCCTGTAGTTGCCACCTCCTAGGCGATGCAAGGAGCCTGCAGCTGAGCACTAAGTGGTGGGAATGAAAAGTGCTGCTGTAGCAGATTCATTAGGGACCAGAGTGACTGTGTGTCCACAGGCTCAGACACTGGGATTCTGAAGTGGTGTGATGAATTGAAGCTCATCGGCTGCCGCTGTGGCTGGGCCAAGAGATAGCAACTAATCAATTCCTCACACGTCAAGTGACACCTCAGACATGAGATAGATTTCCCTGTCACATCACATGGCAGATACTGTCCCCGTGGGGAATGTGCAAGTGCTGCAGAAGCAGCGGCACCAGGGGAGAGCACGGCAGCAGGAGATTGCTTCTCAGCATCCAAACATTTCCTGGAACCCACCCCATGCACTGTCCTACTTGTATCACCTGCACCCAAATGCTGCAAGGGCAGTCATGCTTTTCAATTGCTCAATTTTTTTTTCACCATAACAGCACTTACATACATTTGAAATCTGCACTGCATGCTCAGCCTGCAGACAGCCCTCAGGCTCCTGAAGATCCTCTGCACAGCATTCCCCCCCCCACCAGCCTTGCAGCCCCTGGGTCCACAACAGATGGAGGGGGGACGCTCCCAGAGTAGCAGGCCTCACAATCACATCTTCCATTGTTCCCCAATCAACACTCAGTCCCATTTAGGCCTTAGGTGCCTTGCTAAACAGCAGGAAACAGCAACTAATGGTGAGAGGCCTAGGGTAACAGCCCGGCTCTTATGAAGGCCTTCTGTCTGCCAGGAGCCTGGCAAAGCATTTTTTATGAATTAACTTATCTAACCCCACCATCACTCTGTGAAATAGGTACTATGTAGGAAACCCATTGCACAAATGAAGAGCTTGAGGTCCAGGGAGGTAAGCTTTCCCACAGTTACACACAGTGGTGGAGCTGGGATACCAGCTAATCTGGTTCTTGACAAGTCACTCCACTATTACCCTGGGAGGGATGGATGAATGCCACTGAGAAGCCCAAAGGAAGAAGGTTGGCTGGGTGTGTGCTGGTGAGGGGAAGTGAGGGAGTAAGACCAGGACAAATGTTCCTGGAAGAGGGGCCAGCATAGGCAAAGTCCGGTGAATACCTTAAACATTCAGGCAGCAAGTGAGTAAATATGCTTGGACAGCAACAGAGCTCTGGAGAGAGAGTTCTCAACCATCTTCCCAGGGAGGTCAAGGTGGATGAAGGTCTGTGACTAGAGGAGCCTGCTAAGTTCTAAGGAGTGACTTTTGCTCTGGAGCTGGGAGACTAAACATGCATATTAACTGTGTTATTATTTCCAGGAGGCCATAAACTTGTTTGAAAGGAACATTACAGACTTGGTAGGACTCTTTGTGGAGAATGTCCAAGGTCTATATCCTTTCTCTAATGACTTCCCCATGGGGAGGCGCCACAAGGCCCCTAGGTGTGTCCTGCTCTCTAAAGGAGCCAGGGGAGAGGCAACTATATTTTGTTAAAAGCAGAGAAGAGCAAAGCTTCTTTAAAAACTAAGCAGAATACAAATAAATGGGGTCCCCTACTGGGTGGCCACCTGCAAAGATCCCCCCCATGGCATTAGTAGCCTAAATACATTGGCAAAGATAGTAAAAAGTAGGCACTCTAGGGCAGTGCCTGTGGCTCAAAGGAGTAAGGCGCTGGCCCCATATGCCAAAGGTGGTGGGTTCAAACCTAGCCCCAGCCAAAAACTGCAAAAAAGAAAAAAAAGTAGGCATGCTATAATTGTACTTTTTTTTTAAACCAGAAATAACTCTGCCCTGTTTGACTTACAAAAAGATGATATTTAAATTTATCCTAGGATCCAATTTAGTGGAAATCCCCACTTTTGAAATTAGGAAACTGTAAAACCTCCAGTTTTTCGTCAAGAAAAAAGCTCACCTTCAAAGGATGCAGATTTGGCAACCTCTTAGCATGTTCAAAAAGAATGTCCCATGGAGTCCGGGGGGTTTCCCTTCCCTCAGAACAGTGATGGTCTTGTTATGATGATCTGGATGCCCAGAGGAACTGCTGTGTGGGTAGCCCCACTGTATGCAGTGGAGTTCTGGCTTGTTCTTACATGGGTGAAATTCATGGGGGAGAGGATGCCCCAGAATGACCACCTGCCCCCGTGCTGCAGACATATGCACTCTGGGGATGAGGCAATGTCCATATGCAGATGCTGACAATTATTCACAATGAGCTGGTCAGGTTAAATGTTAGGGTTTGGAGCCAACATTTGGAGCATAACCAACCCTTCTGCCACCTGAACTCAGAGCCCTGTCACATGGGGGGCAAATTCCTGTGCCCCACCCTAGAAGCACCCGCCTGGTCCTGCTTTCCTGGGGCTCAAAGTCCAGCAGGGAAACAAATTATGGAGGTAACAAGTGGTACTGAAGGCACAGGTTGAACAACAGTTAACCCCCGAGGGGTGGGCTGAGGTGTCAGAAGCCTTCCTCAGGGAAGATCCACTAAGTGAGGAACTGAGGTATGGTCCTGTGTGGTCACCAGGCCTGGGCAATTGTGAGCCCTCAGTGAGAGGAACTTACCATGTCAAGTGTGGGGAAGGCATTCCAGGTAGAGGAGGCAGCCTGTGCAAAGGCCCCGAAGACTGGCCACAGAAGTCCAGTTCCAGGAGGAGGCCTTTAGGCCAAGTTAGGGAGGGTGAGGCATCCCACAGCTTTACGCAAGGGGGTGATGGGCTCCCACTACATCTCCAAGCTTGTGGCAACTGCTGTGGGGAGCAAGGGTGAGAGTGCTGAGGGCAGCAGGCAGCCCACTGCAGTGTCCAGTAGGGGAGGCCGCAGGATGGAGAGAAGTGGATGATAAAGGAGCACTGAGGTGAGCCAGGCAGCAAAGGTCCATGATGACTGGGTGTAGAGGCGGGCATGGCGAACCTGGATGCCTCTGGGCTTTAGCGCATGTGTGTGGACAGCTATGACAGTGATGATGCCACCGGGCACCTCAGAGTTCACCGTCAGCCCTTAAAGTCTGTTCTCATGTAGCTGAAACAGCCCGGGCCCTCAGACTGCTTGTCAGACAGAGGCCTTAGCCCACCGGCTGGGGACGCACTGGCCTGCTCCACCCCGGGCCTTTGCTTAACTTGTGGCTGCACGATAGCTCAGTGCCGAGACCTAGAGAACCACCACCATGAAAAGCTCCTGGAGATCTCTATCAACACTCTGGAGAAGATTGTCAAGGGGGAGCTAGACGAGGAACTTCCTGACGACGTGCGCGCGGTGAGCGGGGCAGGCAGGGTGTGGTGGGCGGTGCTGGGTTGGGCCAGGTAGGGCTGGCGGTGCTGGGTGGTTTGGGCAAGGCAGACAGGCAGGCGCAGCCAGCACGACCTGGTGGGACACAAGGCTCGCACGTCCCTGACAGTCGTGTCCAGGCCCACTGTGTAGCTTCCTAAATAACTGAAAACCACCTGGAGCTTCAGTTTCCTCATCTGCAAAAGGGGACGGTAACCAGCTTTGCAGAGTTGTTGTCACATGAAATAGGCTAACACTTGGCCTGGCACTTAATGGGGCCCAACCTAAGAGGAGCTCATGGTAATTAGATGGTTTCAACTTTCCAACAGGTTGGTTTCCAAACGTTTAATTCTGTGAGGACTTCTGGCACTTTCTAAGAAAGACAGTTCCAAATAGGTCTGAGATACCCTCCAGGTCTTTTTAGCTTTGGAGTCTCTATGGGGCACTGTTTCTGATCCAGCATGGCCACCCCAGTTTCCACCAGCATATCCAGTGATGAATGGTTGCAAAGCCAGTGGGTTTGCAAGTGCTAGCCTGGGGCACCTGGCACTGTCCCTCAGGTCAGCACACTAGACGGCTGTCCAGGTCTTCTGCGGTGGGTCCAGCAGCAGCATGTGCATGTTGCCAGGAAGGAGTGCAGGTGCAAAGGGCCCAGTCTGGACACTCCCACCAGGGCTGGGTTTACGCAGCGTTCCTCCCACTGCCACTTTCTCAGCTCCTCTCCAGCCCCTGCTAGCACCAAGGCCAGCCACTGCAGTCTTTCTCCTGGACTACCCACCTCTCCACCTCTATGCTGTTCTCATACAGGCTGTCCTCCACCTGGCAGCCAGAGAGATTCTTGGAAACCCAAACCACACAATTTCACGTTCATACAACACCCTCTAATGGCTTCTCACGACTCAAGTAATCTCTTCCCTGCCCAGCTCTGCCGGCTCCTGATGCTCAGCACCAGCCTCTGAGTGTTCCCTGGGGTCCAGCTTGCTCCATCTGGCACATGTGCTCTTCCCTCAGGTCCCCATGTGCTTCACTTGTCCTTGTCATTCAGATCTCAGCTCAAATATCAGTAGCTCCTGGGAGAGGCCTTCCCTTATCACCTTCCTGAAAAACCATTGTCTATCACATACCCCATTTATCAGGTTAGAGTCTCATCACATCTCAAAGTATCTGGCTTATGTTGATTTGCTCGTGTGACTATTCACACTACATATAAGCTCATGAGGGAGACAGGAATGGCCCCCACCATGTACCTCCCTAGTGCCAGCAATAGTATACAGGGTACAGTAGGGACACCAGGAGTTGTCTGTGGATGGAGTGTGAGAGTGTGCATCCACAAAGCCACTACTCGGTTAGCTACTTGGCTGTGTCCTGCAGACACAGAGGACCAGCCATCCCTGACTCCCCCAGCCTCTGTCCTGGGGCCAAGACAGACACCCAACATAGCAGCATGGTGGCAGGGCCACTATGATGCAGCCTTTCCTCCCTGAGCTGGGGCTAACTGCCATTGACTAGATACAGGAAAATGCCACCTTTCCCAAGCTGAGAAAGGCTCCTCTGTGAAAGAGTCCACTCAGGAATTTCCCAGACAGATCATCTTGGTGGGTAGAGTTCCCTCATGACATAGCACCCAGGCCTGTGACACCCAGTGGACATAGGCCTGAAACATGCTGACTCCCTAATGACTGGGACACAGAAAAGGATGGGTCCCTGAGGCCCCAGCAGAAAAGTAGGCTGGGATGGAGCTTTCAGTGGCCAGGCCACTCTCCTGCCTGGCTGACTCTGCCTGGTGCCATCTAACACCCATTCCTGAGACTCCGGGAACACTCAGCACCTGCTGAACAGGCTGGCTGGTGATGAGAGTTCCTCTCACTGAGGGCTCACCATTGCCCAGGCTTGGTGACCACATATGATCTCATTTACATCACCAAGAGACCCTACAAAGATGACAACACTGGGTAAGACTGGGGCTAGATGTCTAGTAAGACTAAAGAAGTCAGGTAAGCTGCCCGTGATGCCAAAGCTTGCAAGCCTCACAGTCTGGATCAGACTCTACTGACAGATGCCGAGCCTGGGCCGCTGCTGCAGAGCCCACGTTGCTCCTCACTGTAGACTGATGGGGTGAGCATTCTGGGTATGCTCTCAGCCCCAAGCACTAGGCCATGGGGCTCTGCCTCTGAGCTAATAGGCTGGACTCGCTGGAAGGATTGGTGTTGCCATTCCTCTTTAAGGCCTCACAGGGGACAGCCAGAAAAGCCCACTAAAGCCCCTTCCCTCTGTAAGCCCACTGGAGCCACTATCCCTTTGGAAGTGTCCATGATTGCGCGCAATTGCAGCAAGATCACTAGGACCTTATACTCTTGCCTATCTCTTTACATTTAAGAAAAAAAAGGTGGGGGGAGGTCTATTGTTCTCAGGAGAAAATATGGTCTTACCTTTAGAAGTAATACTAACAAATAGCTGAGCTGACATTGACTAGGCCCACCTGAGGCCCCTCTGAGAAGCACAGGATATAAATTTGCTCTTTTAATCTTCACATAAATGTGAAGGATGTACTGTTATGCTTCCCTTTTACAGATGAGAAAACTGAGGCACAGAGATTAATCTGCCCAAGGTAATCTGCCCAAGGTAAACTGCCACAGTTTATAAATGGTAGGGTTGTGATTTGAATGCAGCCAGTTTGACTCAAAGCCCTTGACGAAAGGTCTACTGAGCCTTTAGCAAGATGAGGGTGTTCAGAGGAGGGGCATGTTAATCAGTTCATGCCATACTTAGGGCAAATCTGTCCCATGTCTACATTTTCAAGTCCTTTCAGCTTTGAGAGGAAATTCAGAATGCACATGCTGAGAAAGCCAATGGGCAGTGAGGGAGGAGGGCCTCTGAGTGGTGGTGGCAGCCACAGCCGCCTGTTTAGAAGGTGACAGTGAGGTCACACATGCTGCCTGGAGGGGTGTCTAGCTGTGAGGGCACAGCAAGTGCTCTGGCCTAGACCATCAGGAGGACTTGCGAGTCCTGAGTCTGCTCCAGTGCCAGTGGCCTGACCTAGCCCCCAGTCTATGGGCAGCTGTGATGAGATTCCAGCCAGCACCAGGGACTCCCCTTGGCACAGGCGGAGTTGTTCTCTAGCCAGCACCAGGGGCTCCCCTTGGCACGGGCAGAGTTGTGGCAGAGGGCACACAGATACTCCGTGGTCCTAGGGAGGGACTTTCTCAAAAGTCACTTTGAAAGAAATGTATCTTCACAGCTTTGAGGACCTAAGAACAGGGTGTGATAACTCAGGGAGCCAGGAGGGAGCAGCTACTGCTTCTCATATGCTATATGCAGCCCCTGCCTCTACCCTGGTGCTTTCAACCTGCAAAAACTGGAGGGAGATCCAGAATGTTCTACCTATAAATTCTATTTACTTTTTTTTTGAGACAGAGCCTCAAGCTATCCCCCTGGGTAGAGTGCCATGGCCTCACAGCTCACAGCAACCTCCAAGTCCTGGGCTCAAGCGAGTCTCTTGCCTCAGCCTCCCAAGT